TTAAGGACACGCACGGAAAGGAGATGTTGAAGAGTGGGGTATAATAAACGTACTGCAATTTTAAAGTTATTTTAAGGCATTCTTAAAGAGGGTAATTTAAAAATGAATTGGACTGTATTTTAATGTTGCTAGGAGAGGAATTTACACTAAATTACAGGAAAAGACAGCATGCTGGTAATGTTGGCTGAGTCAGGACTGCTGCAGACCTTAGAAACAGAACGCAGAAGCTTTTTCGACAAGAGGCGATCCAAATTTTTTTTTGGGATCCAGCATATCCCTCAAGGGTGTACCTACAGGCATCATTTCGAGAAGGAAATCTGACCAACCAAATGCAAATGTTAAGAGTATAGTTTAACAAACTTGTATTTATTACGTTGGAATTGCAAACATTAATTTAAATGGGTTAATAGTTCTGTATTTCCAATTTTTTTTAACATTGTCATTGTCCATATTGTCCAGAAAATAAAATAGAGGAGCTTTTATATTCTAAATTTAACAGTTAAAAAAGCTATAAATAATAACACAACTTACGGAAGTGTACATGCATGCCTTCATGTGTCCTATTTGTTAGCAAATTTTTCTAAGAGAGCTATCAAGGCCTGACTCTGCATTTGTTGTTATTGGAACATTTGTCGCATGGTTTGTGCATGCTGTTGTTCTTGAAGTTGCTGTTGTCTCTTCTGTTCTTGATTGTGTTGCTGCATTTGGCTTTGGTTTTGCAATAACAATTGTATGCTCCCTTTCATTTTTCTCCTTTCTTTTAGTAGTCTCTCTTACAGTTTCCATGGTTTGAAGTCTTATTTAATTAGCTGTGGTTCTGTCATTTTCTGCTTTCTTTTTATTGGATGTAATAGGAGGGTTAAGCATCCATTTTCTTTATCACAAATTTCCTCTAATAGCGAGTCAATCTCATCTTCATCTGGGCTGATTCCACTTGACTGACCTTCTTCTCTGACTTTTGCTAAGTATAAAATAAAATAAGCCGGCCCCGTATTCCCGCTAACTTAGGCAAAGTATATAAACTATTTTGACTCTAAAAAGCAAACTTGTGTCACATTTTTGTGATAATCTACAGAAGATGACAACCCTATTTTACGCAGGTATATACATTTGCTTTCACTGAAGGCTACTTTCCTCTTACGCGTTTTCTTTACCGGGGAAAAATTTACATATTTCCAAATTTTTATTAATTTTATTAAAATTTGCGGGAAAATAAGTTAATTTCATTGTTCAATCTCTCTTTTTCAAATATGACATTTATAAGGATTTAGACTTTGGATTTGGATTCAATGTCAAAATCAAACGAATTGGTTTGGTAACAATTGCACGACTTATTTCTTTTTATTACTTATTAATTATATGTCTTCTGTTATCAACAAGGGACTAAAATGTATGGAACTTCAATATCATTTTTTTCATGACAATTTCAGTGGCAAATAGTAAAATTTGAAATTAGTGAAATTTATAATGATTTAACTTCGAAATTCTTTTTGTTTTCTGTATGTTGATTGGCCATAGCTGTATTGGCTACAGCATTTGCCCTTCATTAAGGGAGAGACAATACTGAATAAAGTAAACGCTTATGAATACTTAATATGTAATGCGCTTCAATAATTTCAATAACAGCGATGACAAAATGTCAATTTGGAGTAATGGAAGTTAAATAAAAAAACGATTTAATTTATGCCATTTTTTAACGCTCAAAATTAATGTGAAAGTCAAATAACAATAGCATGTAGGAAGAATTATTAGTGCGATACGAATAGCAATAAGAAAACCCATATATTATTTAAAAGTAATAATGTATTTTTAATTTAACTCTCGTTCGTGCCATTGTAAATTTAGGCAGAAATGTGAAAGTTCAACACACATGGGAATGCATGTCAGGATAAAAAGACGTTCACTGGATCGATTTTTATCATAGCATCCATATTATGGCTGCGGAAGAAGACGTAAAATACACGGCAGAGAATGCTCCGTTCTTCGTTACCATCAAAAAGTGCATTGGTTTCAATTGATGCCACGATGCCTAGCGAGAGAAAATATTCAAGAATGATTAAATGAACTGTTTGTCTGGGTCTTGCAAAAACTTTGTCATTGAATGGTAATCATAATAAAAATGTAAACTTCAGTTAATTGAAAATACACTATTATTTAAAATTTATTAATCAATGGTTTTTCCTTATTGTTATTCGTATCGCACTAATGATTCTTCCCTACATGCTATTATTACTTGACTCTCACATTTGAACGTTAAAAGTTGGCGTGAATTAAATCGTTGTTTTATTGAGCTCCCATGACGCCCAATTGACATTTTATTGATGTTATTGAAGTTAGAATCGCACTATTAAGTATATGCAATAAGCGTAATTCAGTATTGTTTTCCCTTAATGAAGGGCAAATGCTATATTAAAGTGATTTTTAATTTCCATGGGCAAGAGTGCTGCTAGTGTGTAATGCCGAAATCGCACTCCCCTGAGACCATGATATTGCAGTTTTTGCCATATAGATTGTAAAATTTATCATGGATATTGAAATTTTTGGAAATTTGAATATTTATCAATTTTAAAAACAAATATTGTAGTTTGCTGGTTATATATACCATATAACCATATATATTTATATATATATATATATATATATATATATATATATATATATATATATATATATATATATATATATATATATATATATCATATATATATATCATATATATATATATATATATATATATATATATGTATATATATATATATATATATATATATATATATATATATATATATATATATATATATATATATATATGTATATATATATGAAGGAAGCTAAGAAAGCATTCTCTATATTCTCTATAACATGGTCCCTCCTGAAAACCGTCCCAGCCTACAAAGCCGGCTCAAGAAGATGTAACCTCTGCCTTGAAGAGAAGCTATACATTATGAAACGCTAAACTAAATCTCTGCTGAACAAACGCTCTGAACTTTTCACTCGATGTAGACACGTAACCCGATACCTTATATCACGATGTAAATATAGAAAATAGCAACTAGACCTGTCATTAGCCTGACGATCGCTTTATAGCGTGAAACTCAGAGTAGCTAAGCTAGTCTTTCAATATATATATATATATATATATATATATATATATATATATATATATATATATATATATATATATATAATATATTATGATGATAACGCCTCGTCAGTGAAGGCTGTGCAGCTTAATTTGTACACATAATTATGCACGAGATGACAACCCTATTTTGCGCACGCTTTTCTTTCACGCGAAAAGTTTTACATGATTCTAATTTATTACTTATTTTATTAAAATTTGCAGGAAAATAAGTTATTTTGATTGATTAATTTCTCTTTTCCAAATATGACATATATAAGGATTTAGATTTTGGATTTGGAATTTATGCCAAAATCAAACGAATTGGTTTGGCAATAATTGCACGACTTAATTCTTTTTATTACTGCACTTATCTATTATATGTCTTCTGTAATCAATAAATAATAAGGGACTAAAATGTATGGAACTTCAATTTAATTTTTCTCATGAGAATGACAGTGGCAAATAGTACAATTTTAAATTATTGAGTTTTCGCAATTATTTTTGTTTTCTGCATGATGATTGCCTGTAGCTGTGGATATTAGTGTGATTTTGAATGTCTATGGGCAAGAGTGCCAGTGTGTAATTGTTTTTAATATTGCAGTAGCTATTTGTCATTGATTATATATAAGATTTATCATTGATATTGAAGTTCTTTAACATTTGAATATTTTTAAATCTTAAAAACAATTATTTTAGCTTGCGGGTTATAATTATACAGTATGACAATAGAACAAGTTTATTTGTTTGAGTATATATAAATTAAATATTAATAATACTATCAATATAAAACTTTCATAATGATAGATGTGTGTCCATAACAATAGACGCAGGTGTTAATATTTCTCTCTATCTTTCCGTATTTACAGACGTACGTTACATCTCTACTCGTGTGTTGAGTTTCACTGCGTGGACTGACGTTCAACCGCTCATCTCTAGTTTAAAGTCACTAAACTGAACGAGTGCCAATGTATATAATTTTGGTTCAATTCTTGTTGCTGAAAGGTATAAATTGCTACACCGCAGCAAAATCATCGAAATCATCTTTTGATTATCAAAAATATTTCAAAACAGTGAGGAAAAACGGTGAGTAGCAATGTTGTCATCGATGATTTATCAGTTTGACACAATCCATGCGTTTACCTTGTTTAATGGGACGTGTGAATAAGAAATAGTATGTTTTCGGTATAAACTTGGTATTTATAATCTCGCAGTAAAATATAAAACAATATAGAAACTCCGCAAAAAATGAACATCAGTTGAAAAAAAATTTCTATGTTGAAACGATGATGAATGACATAATATTATGTATACAAATATTTATGTAGTGAAGTAAGAGTAATAGAGCATATTTTGCATATATAAAGTAGACATGCACATATCCCGATTAAAAAAAAAAATCAGTAGACATTTAATGTATAAAGTTCTGTTTCTTATATACAGTAGACATATCCCGAAATAATGTACCGATTTTGAAAAGTAATATCTCGCTGAATATTCCTAAAAAATACTACGATAAGTTCATAAAACATTAAAATCTAAGTTAGTCTATCCTCTAACCAATGAAAGTTTTTTCATTTCGATAGGAAGTTATTTTGAATTAAATGGGTTTACTTTTTTGGACACCTGGTAAAACATTAAACACATAAATGCTTTCACAGCACACAAGGCTCATAATAACATTCTTACTCAAAATAATGGGCTTGTCCGCAGCGTTCAACACAGTTGATCATGAAATTCTCTAGGATTACAAAATCATGGCAAAAAGTTTAGAATTATTTTCTTCTTAACAGGCAACCCGTTATCAAATGACGATGTCATATCAAGTTATGTTGTTCATTCTGAAATTGAATGCTCCTTAAATTGCCTGGAAGAACAAATGTGTGTGGCTTACAACCACAGACCTAAATTAGCACGAGATGAAATAAACTGTCAAATCAGCAGTAGTACTTCACAAAAAGATGTTGAAGTTTTTGCGAAGGGAGAGTGGACACTTCACCAAGACATGAAAACATTTTGTGTGAGTACACTACTTACCGGGGTTGACGAAAAACGCATATACTTTTGTTTTTCGCATGCAACTGTCTAATTATTATATCTGTAATTGAAAAATTGAAATTGCTATTGGCAACCATGGGTAAAAAAGAAAAGTTAACACTGTTGAGGATGCAGCTGTGATATGGCATGTTTGCTCGCTTTTGTTTGCTAAGAGTTCCCCACTTTTGTTCAATTAAACTTTCTCGTTCAGAAACATCCATGCATACAAAGAAAGATATTTCCCCCTATACATCATTGGCGCTATAATGTTTCTTTCAAGTCCAGAACTAGAATGGAATAGAATAGATCAGCTATAAGGTTATGGTTATACCGATACAATGCCATTGAATTATAGCAATTTTTCATGAAATCAGGGGAAAGTCGGGCAATTTGTAACCCTGCATGATTAAAGCAAACATTGCAAAATCATTCGCCTGTTCCTAAAAATTGTTCTAATATCTTTCGTCATTTTTAGCTCGCCTGCACTTTAGTGTAAGAGAGCTATTGCTATAGTCTTGGCGTCCGCGTCCCCGTCCCCGTCCCCGTCTTCGTCCCCGTCCACACTACATGATAAGTAGAATGTTAAGATGCCACTTTTATTTTCCCATTATTAGTTCAAAGTTGTAGCTGAATCATATTTAACGAAACTATTTGTACAACCCTAAGCCAAATGAGAAACTTTCAAATATTTTCACCTGTATGCTACCATTTGTTTGTATTTTACATGTACAATTATAAATTTAATATGAGATTGTGTTGTGACATGCCGTATCAAAATTCAATCGCTTAATATAGAAATCATTCAGGGAGTGAAAATATATAAAACATAGTCCAACGTTAAAGTTTAAAGAATATTGTCAGATAATTCGCAATTACAAGCTTTAGCACATAAGTATTTATAAGTAGAAAGCCGATAGGCTCGGAATGCAAAGGCAAATGGCAACGCATGTGACATATATTTGCATATTATTTATGTAGATACACATGCAAATATATTATTAAAGCACCTATAAGATTTATGTACATACCTTTTCGTTGTTTGATGCATAATCCTTTTTTGTGCAGATATAAAAATCCAATCTTGTTTATTTCATAAAGCTAGGCGCACACACGACGATTTTAGTCGGCCGATTCCTGTCTAGATTGTCTAGATGGATGTTTTCATCAAAATGTGGCGACTGGCGATCCATACTTGGTCATAATATTAGACCAAGTAGACTCGCGTACACGCGCGAGGCGCGAGCGCCGCGAGAAGGAAAACATGTCTGGGCAAGGGCTGCCTATATGTCTAAACCTGAATGGACCAACTACCGTAAAATCGTTGTGTGTGCGCCCGGCTTAAAGCAGGGACTTTTGCCTGGTCCGTTAACTTACCTGTTGATATCACGTGCGCGGATTGCGAGAAACGGAAGAAATATTGGTCACAAATAAAACTAATGTAATTCCGAGGCCAGTTTTGGCCAGTTATTCTGAGGTCACAACTAATATCTGAAGTTTGTGCTTAATATTACCTTCCAACGCGGATTTTAGCCTTGTAATTTGTAATAAAAGATCGGTAATTTGTGCTTTTTAATATTCTCTTTATGCTATTATTTTAATACACGCTTTGATGTTCATATATTCTTTATTGTGCTGTTGTCTGTTACCGAATCCCTCACTCACTAACTCCTATATTGCTATTATTGTCTTCCTATATATATTCGACTAAGTGTCAATCATTATATTAGTATTAACTATTAACTAGCTCAATACTACACCATTCTCCTTATTTAAATTAAACGTTACTTCTAAATCAGTTCAATCAAATGTAATCACTATGTGCATTTGTGTCCTAAATTATCCACTCTATTAATAATGTCTGATGGTAATGTTTGTCCATATCTTTCTGGTATTCTCCTCGCTCTGGTAGATCTTCTGACTGTACCCTCTCTTCTTTCTTCATTGTAGTGTGTATCTCTCACGTTCTCTTCATTGTCAGCTTCGTTGTTCTCGCTCGTATCATCACTGTCCGATTCACTTCCATTACTTTTCGGAATTTTCTTGAAATGGGAAATGTTCCGTTCTATTACATGACCATCTTTACTCCGTGCTTTTATCACAGTCTTCTTTCTGTATACAACCTGATATGGTGTTGTATTAAAATGGGATGTTAACTTGTTTTGTTTTGGCTGTTTAACCAATACATGGCTCCAACGGTGATGTTGCTTTTCTTGGTGTTTCGTCGGTTGTTTATGTACGCTTCATTATATTCTTGGCGTTTTCTTTCTCTTTCACGCGCTTCGTTGTGTCTGTTCACAACAATTTTCTTGTACAGTACGGGTAATGTTCCTCGAACTTTTCGGTTGAACAATAACTCGGAAGGTGGAACACCAGTCGAACTGTGAGGTGTTGTACGATATTGTAATAAAAAACGACTCAATTCTTGTCTCCACGGTCGACTTTGAAGTTTTGCTGTTTGCAATACTTTTCTGAGACATTGCATGAAGCGTTCTGCTTGTGCATTACCTTGGGGCCATAACGGGGTGGAGAACTTGGGTGTTATTCCGAAGGTCTCTAAGTATCGTTTGTAGTCAGAACCGTTGAATGGTGGTCTGAGATGATTTCGTCTGGAATACCGTGGGTCGCAAAGATTTTATCCAGTTTTGGTATCACTGCTGATGCTCTCGTGGAGTGTACCACTTCTACTTCGGGAAATCGAGAGTATCGATCAATGACTACGAGTAGATATTCTGTCGTAGGCAAAGGTCCATAGAAGTCAACATGTAAGGTTGTCCATGGGTGTGTTGGCATAGATGTAGTCGTAATGGGTTCAGGTGGGTTTGGTCGTCCCACTGCCTGACATGGGATTCAACGTTCAATTGTGGTCTTTACCAGATTGTCAATTTGAGGAAACCATACCTTTTCGCGTATGAGGCTTTTGGTCTTGTCTATGCCCAGGTGTGTCTGATGTGCTAAGTCTATTGCTCGCTGTTGTGAAACCCGAAGGGATCACGATCCTCGTTCCTCGCAGTATCATACCGTGTTGGGTCGTGGTCAGCTGGTCTTTCACGGGCGTATAAGGTTTAACGGCAGGTGCGTCCCATTCGTTTGTGCGTATAGCGTCCCGAACTTGTGTCAACGTAGCATCAGCGTTGGTGGCTTCGAGGATTTCTGTCAAAGTCATTGTTTTTGGCACACTGTGATGTGCAATGAAATTAATGTATTGTTCTGTCATTCGTTCTTGTTTTCGACAACTTTCCGCTGTGGGGTGTCGTGACATGTAGTCTGCAGGATTGCTACTACCGGCTTTGTACACAATCTTAAATGCGTAGGGTTGCAAACGGAGAACCCATCTTTCAATACGTGCTGAGGTTTTGGCTGTTCGTTTACCGTAGATTATCTCGAGAGGCTTATGGTCCGTCACCAGTGTAAACTCACTTCTAAAAAGAAACAAATGAAAGTGTTCAACTGCCCAGACAATGGCAAGCGCTTCTTTTTCTGTCTGCGAATAGCGTTTTTCAGTATCTGTCAATGCACGACTTGCATATGCGATAACTTGTTGATGATCGGCGTCTTTGTGTTGCGGTTTCTGTGATAGAATGGCGGAGATGCCTACAGGACTAGCATCTACGGTGACGCAGGTGTCTTTTCGTTTCTCAAAATACGACATGCAAGGTGCGGAGGTAAGTTTCTGCTTGAGCTCGTCAAAGCTGCTTGATGTACTTCCGACCACTCAAAACGAATGTTTTTCTTCGTTAACTCTCTTAGGGAAGCTGTGATAGTAGCAAAGTTTTGTATATATTTGCTGCTATAGTTCGCCATTCCGAGGAAGCTACGAACTTCGTGCGTGTTCATCGGTTTTGGTGCTTTCAATAAATCGTTGACTTTCTTGGGATCAGGTCTCGTCCCCTCTTTCGTAAATATCTGTCCAAAGAATGAGAGTTCGTCTTTTAGAAAAACACATTTGCTTTGGTTCAATCGTAGTCCTTTCGCGGTAAGGCGTTGAAGGCATTTGTCTAGGTTTTCGTCATGTTCTCGTCTTGTTGAACCAAAAATAACAATATCGTCTGCGATATTCTTAACTCCTGGAAGTCCTTGGAGTGCTGTTTGGAGCGTATGTTGGAACATCTCTGCCGCGGTATTAGTTCCGTAATTTAGTCGCTTATATCTGTATAAGCCTAGGTGCGTACTAAAGGTTGTAATGTACCTCGATTGTTCATCTAATTCAAGCTGCTGATGATACGCGCTTGACTTAGGTCTAATTTAGAAAAATACTGTGCACCATTCAATGAGAGGCTTATATCGTCCACAGTCGGTATTGGGTGTCGTACTCTTCGAATCGCTTCGTTCGGTAATCTCATGTCGACACAAATGCGAACTTGGCCATCTTTCTTTGGGACCGTAACTATAGGTGAAACCCAGGGAGTCGCTTCATCGTCGGGTACCCGTTCTATTATATCTTGTTCTTCGAGCTCGTGTTGCTGTTTTTACCCTTTCTCGGATGTGGTAGGGTATGCGTCGTTGTGGTTGTGCTTTGGGTATTTTCGTTTCATCAATGTCTAGCTTGATTTGGGCGTCCTGAATTTACCGAGTCCCGTAAATACCGTCGAGTGCTTTTGATGTGATTTATCGCGTTGTTTTGTTGAAAGTTTGTCTAAATGTAGACTAACAAGTCCAAGTTCTTGTGCAGTGTTTAGTGATAACAAATTGCCACACTGTTGTGCTTTAACAACATAAATCGTAGCAGTTGTCATACGCTTCTTTGTTTCGATGACTGCGTCAAATTTGCCGACAAATTCTACCGGATTTGTACTATTGTATGCAAAGGCTTTCACATTCGTACGTTTCAGTTTAATGTCTTTCATCTTCTCGAACGTGTTATAATCGATGACGTTTATCGTCGCCCCGGTGTCTACAGCTGTTTTTAGTTTACTACCACCTATGGTGACACTAACTTGTTGTCCACTTTCGTATCACTAACTGCGTATATGTACTCTTCGTCAGAGCTAGATTGTTGTTCAGTGTCTAGCGTTTTAACATGCCTCTGTCCGTATTTCTGTTTACTTTTGTGTTCCCTTCTCTGTGGTCGTTCGGGTTTCTGTGTTGATCGACACATCGTTGCGAAATGGTTTAGTTTCCCACACTTGTTACATGCACGATTTGCCGCGCGCTGGACACACGCTTGTATGGGGAAAATCACGACCGCAATTTCTACATTTGGATTTGGAAGTGTTATTAGTATTGTTCCGACATTGTTGTTCTATTCGATTCATTTCTCCGTCCTTTGTTTCTTTTGATTCGATTTCCTTCGTCTGAAAGGTACTTTGTTCGTCTCGACGTCCTTCGATAAGCATAGCTTTTAAATCAAACGTTGGATCACGTAGAGCTCGTTTACGTATTTTCGACGATTTGCCGCCAATAAGGATTTGTTCTTCAATTTCAAACGCGATGGCTGTAAACTCACACGTCTCTGCCATTGTGCGCAATCTCGTATGAAATTGGTCCAAAGTCTCGCCGCTTTCTTGTTTAGCTTGCCGAAAACGGTATATACTTCATATCGCTTGTTTTTCTGCGGGTCAAAATGGGCTTTTAGTTTTGCCTTGGCGAGTTCGTAATCTGCGCCAGTTCCTGTATCTGGAATTTGTTTGAAGATTTCGCGCACTCGCGAGCCAGCCTGATATACAGGGTGTATCAGAAAAAAATAGAAGATTTTAAAATGTTCAGAAAACTATCATTTTATCAAGATATCTCAAAAATATATTTACGTCTAAGTATTTTAGCATCTTCTGGCTTATCTAAGAGTAAAAACTAGCAGAAAAATTAACCTCGAAAAGCGGGAGAACGGTTTGTAAAAGCCTCATTTTTAACCGCTTGTGCAAAGAAAATGAGACGTTCAAAATCCAAGTTCAGTTAAAGAGGTGAAAGTTTGGAATCTTTTGTGGAATTTATCGCAATTTCAAAAAATTTGATAAACATCAGGTCCGCCGCGAAACGTTTCAAAATTGGATTTTTTTCCCTGTTTACTCCGCTCTCTCGTAACTTTTTACATGCAAGAATGATTACATGCATGAGTGATAGTTGGAATGACGTACTTAAACATAACAAACAATGAATACTCTTGTTTTATTGTTTTCATTTAACAAAGAGTGCTCGTAATTACGTCATTCCAACTATCACTCATGCATGTAATCATTCTTGCGTGTAAAAAGTTACGAGAGAGCGGAGTAAACGGGGAAAAAAAATCCAATTTTGAAACGTTTCGCGGCGGACCTAATGTTTATCATATTTTTTGAAATTGTGATACATTGCACAAAAGATTCCAAACTTTCATCTCTTGAACTGAACTTGGATTTTCAACGTCTCATTTTCTTTGCACAAGCGGTTAAAAATGAGGCTTTTACAAACCGTTCTCCCGCTTTTCGAGGTTAATTTTTCTGCTAGTTTTTACTCTTAGATAAGCCAGAAGATGCTAAAATACTTAGACGTAAATATATTTTTGAGATATCTTGATAAAATGATAGTTTTCTGAACATTTTAAAATCTTCTAGTTTTTTCTGATACACCCTGTAGTAGCAACGCACGTTTTCTTGTTGAGTCTGTAATTCCACTTGCGGTTAGATACATGTCAAAATCGGATTGCCAGTTATTCCATTTTGTCGCAATGCTTGTACCGAGTTTAGCATCTGGACAAAATTCTGGCATTGGTGTGATTGCAATCGACTGCATGACTTGCACCGTCATGACTCAATACTACATGCTTCATACAGATACCTTTCATACAGAGTTTAATTTAGCCTTATTCTAGACAAACAGTGCAGGCGAGTGTTAGGTGATTTCAGCACCTCTCTGGTTAAAATTAAAATGAGTGATTGATATGAAATTATTTATAATCGAAGGCAACACGATTCTCGAAATTCTCGATTTCGCTTTTTTAATGAATCTCTCTTTTTATCTCTTATCGCAATAATGTAATGTAACCGACATAAGGTCTCGTTGAAAGAATGCTAGCTTAATTAGCTTTTCGGCGGTTTTATTTATATTATGATGAACACTTGTTTCAGGGTTGCAAGGAGAATCAATCTCAGTGGGGAACGTTCAAAAACCTCCCTAAAGAACAAAAAGGAAATGGTAAGTGTATATTTTGCGGAATTTAGGTTAACGCATGGTTGAGTATACCGACCGTAAGAAACAGTCATTTACATAGTATGCGCAAATATATAGTGTTCAGGTCGTGAATTGTATATGTATTATTATAAAAGGTTGTTATGTAAATGTTAATAGTGTAGTATCATATAGCATAGGAAGTGGAGGTAAGCGGACAAAAGTGTGGGTTGTAGTGGCACGAAAAGATCAGAAAAACATCCTGTAGTTCTGTAAGAGATGCGTCAAGGAAATGCATCATTTTTTGGTAAAGCATCCTGTTTTGTTATTATAAATATGGGTTAAAATCATTGTTGTAAGTTAGTTGTGTGTTTGAGCGTGAATTATTGTAAAGTGTTGGTTCCTGAATAAATGTGAAATTATATGTCCCAGAGTGTGAGATTTGGACCAGCGTAGCGGAAAATCTGACGTGTTTAAAGATTTTCAACAGTACAAAGTAGAGCTCAAATTTCAAAATTTGTAATTTTTCAAGGCATATGGTAAAACGCGGACTGGACTAAATTAGTAAAACGCGGACAGGACTAGATTAGTAAAACGCGGACTGGACTAAATTAGTAAAACGCGGACTAGCCTAGTTTAGTAAAACGCGGACTGGATTAAATTAGTAAAACGCAAACTGGACTAGATTAGTAAAACGCGGACTGAACTAAAATTAGTAACACGCGGACTGGACTAAATTAGTAAAACACGAACTGGACTAAATTAGTAAATGCGGACTGGACTCGATAAAATTTCTTTAATTGTGATTTGACATAATCTATAGTTTGCCCAAAAATTTCTCAATGCATGCCAGAAAACTGTTTTACGGAGAGCACGATAGTTTGCACCATAACGGTGAAAAACTGCCGTTGGTGGATGAAAAATTTTCTATCTGTTTGAGTTCTAGTCCAGTACGCGTTTTACTAATCTAGTTCAGTCCTTGTTTTACTAATCTAGTTCAGTGCGCGTTTTACTAATCTAGTCCAGCCCGTGTTTTACTAATCTAGTCCAGTCCGTGTTTTACTAATCTAGTACAGTCCGCGTTTTACTAATCTAGTCCAGTCCGTGTTTTACTAATCCAGTCCAGTCCGTGTTTTACTAATCTAGTCCAGTCTGCGTTTTACTAATCTAGTCCAGTCCACGTTTTACTAATCCAGTCCAGTCCGCGTTTTACGAGTCCAGTCCAGTCCGCGTTTTACCATATGCCATTTTTCAAATTAACATCACTAAGATGTAAAAAGCAAAATGGTCGCCGCGGTTTCTGTGTAGGATTTTCCCCAGTTTTCTTTTCCAAATGTTGTTACGAAGCGACTCGACAGAATTTGTTGGAATTAATCGCGTCATTTGGACGCAAAAAATAGATATGATTCAATGAAATTCGTTTGAACTGCCTTAAGGGGTCATTTATTAAGTGAATACAGTTCCCTGAATTAGATAAAAGGTCCTCGTGATCTTTTATCGCATTCTTGCATGGAACACTGCCACAAACATCAAGAAACGTGACCATGTTTCTACATGCACTAACTATAAAGACATGCAAATTGAGATTTAATTATATTTAAGGGAGAACTTAAAACATCTAGACCATTAGTGATCTGTGTATGAATAAAACAGGAGACGTATCACGTCTATAGCTTTTTTCGTTCAACGAGATGTATTCGAAACTCGACTATATAATTATTTTATCACCATAATACATATATTTTTAGATTTTCGCATTCAAAATGGTAAAAAAAAGATATGTTTATCGGCCGGAACCGATGACATCGTTGTAGGAAAGCGCTGTAATGCAAATGACGCTAAGCAAGAATGGTCGTGGATAAATGGAGGAAATCAACTGATGAACAAAAACTCGTGTAAATGCCTGGATGTTGAAGGCGAGATTAAATCATATAGCCTGGTGCGTGTTTCCTGTTGTAATAAGCGTGTGTCTGGCCAGCACTGGTCATGCTCTAAAAAATTCTTAATGGTCGGTGGAACCACATTGAGGTTACACGTGGATAATAATCTGCCTCATAATCCAACTTCTATACGTAATAAAATGTACACCGGCAAATGGACTGAATGGGAAATCTTTCGTAAAAATGAAACTGACATATGTGCTGCAAAGCCTTGAGGTAATGCCATCCTCGTTCCCAGGGTCTTCTGCTAATTCATGAAGTTTTTATTACTCCTGAAAAGTACTTGATATAAAAAATCTAAGAGAATCGAAATTTCACTCAAAGTCAATGAGATATCATATCCATAAAAATATAGCGTCATTAATAAGGTACTTTAAATTTAATTTATTCTGGGTCTGCGACTGGTGGCTAATGCGCTTATTAGAGTAAGGGCCCTAACCAATTAAACTAGTGTGCGATTTGATCTTATATCTGGACAGTCAACCCAAAGAAGTAGTAATTAGAATTTGTTTATTTGTTAGTTTTAAATGGTCAATAAAAAGGTCAGGGGCGGATCTAGGAATTTTTTTACGTTAGTCAAAATTTTCGTAGGCCAATTTTCGTCGCCAGTCGTCCTCCCCCCGCCAGATTTATGAAATTTATGAGGCTTTCCAAGCTTAATACCAGGTTATAGTCTGCTAAATTCCTAGGGCACAGCTATTGAATGCCACACTATATAGTCTGCTAAATTCCTAGGGCACAGCTATTGAATGCCACACAAAACATTATGTAGGCACTGAAATGGATGGTATAAAAAAGGGACGTTTTGTGGGTATAAAATGCATGTTTTTATAGCAATAGTCAAATCTCAATAATGGTAGAAATTTACCCCTTCGAACAGACCTCTCAAGAAATTTTCAGCTCAAAATGTTATTGTCTAGTGAAATGTAAGAACACAGGTTTATTACGTTATCATTGAATTTGGTCAAAGCGAAGTTGCTTTATATTTATATAATTATTAAAATGATTTCCCAAATATCCATAGCTTTCTAAATCTAAATCTCTAACTGCAAATTACAGATTATTACACTAGCTCACAATCTATACAATGCCAGCAAGAAGAATCTGGGTAATGCGAATAATCAATACAACAAAATTAATGAGAATATGAATAAGCTCGAAATTCTAAATCGATTTGACGGGCGACGGGCGAATGCAAATATATGCTAATAACAGCAGCCTCGAAGCCTAGGTAAAATATATAAGCTAACAATAACATAGTTAAATTATCGGACCATTGTTTATATGAACTTATAGTATTATCAGAGTATAGTTTACATAAACATCAACATTGGATAATTTACCTTGTAACAGTACACTTCTCAATTCGTCGAACACATGCGAGTATATTTAATACGAAAACATCCATCTCTCGACGACATGTTATTTAATAGTGTCATGAATATAGCGCCCCCATTAAAACTGCTCTATACCGGTTTTTCCTTGAATTCCCTTACAAAGAACTATACATTCGACTGCAAAACACGGGCTCTGATCGGTCATGATCGGTGATATTATTCACGGTCAAATATAAATGCATAATATAAATACATAAGAGATGCCTGCGGAGGAGGCTAGTCTCTGACTCTGATCGCTTGATCGGTCGTGATCGGTAAGGAATTAAACAGCCAATAAGAATTAAGAAATGAAGATCAGACCAACCTCCAAAACGATCACAATTTGTGTCGCCATGAAAACTATCGATCTGACCGATCAGATTGATGAAAAACGCCCATAACCAACCTCTAAAACGATCAGACCAAACCTCCAAAACGATCACCATTTTTGTCTCCTTGGAAACCACCGAATGGGCCAATCAGATTGACCAGAAACGCCCCTAACCAACCTCCAGAACGATCACAATTGTGCAGTTTAAAATTTGAATTCAGAGCGGAGAAATGAAGAGAGATCAGTGTTAATTTAATTCATTCGGCCAGAAAATTAATTATGCCGCTGCAAATTTACAACTGGACTGCGTTCGGAAAAATAAATATTATCGGAAAAATAAATATTATTTCTCTTTCATATATTTCACTTGAATTAAATTAGTGCGGAATTTTTACGTTAGTCGCGTGATTGGTGTGATTACCCCTAGATCCGCCCCTGAAAAAGGTGTTGTCGGTAATTTTTAATCTAATTTTAACTTTTAATGTGCGATGTGAGTTTGGGGTTGAAGGCTATTTCAGATATGGCAGAGCACCTCGTCCCCAGGCCTCCAACTCGTACGTGGCCACAGTATCCAATATGGCGACCAAACATAAGGAGTGTATATTTTAAAAATACGTTAAGTTTACATGCACATTCAGTATATATGCGTAGACTTTGTAGTTTAATTTTTTTTTACAATAAAATTCATTTTAGAATAATTAATACAATACAAGTACATTATTGTGCATAATAGAATATAAGGATTAACTTACAGTTCCTGCTGTCACTTGCCAGCCAGGGCGCATTCTATTTTAAACCTACGCCGAAGATACACTAGTAGCATATAAGCTTCACGCTAACATGCCATGTTGTCAAATATTAAAAAAAAATTAATATATGAAACGCCAGGCACATTGTTTTGTAAATCGGAGATTAAAATTATTTATAGTAAGTCTGTAATGAAAAATGATGCAAATAATATTGCAAACAAGAACAGAATATAAATGATAGAAAAATAGAACTCTTAGCCTTAGGCAAGGTGAAGTATTTAATTCAAGATTGTATCATGCGCAGCCAGCGCAAAACCAGCGCTAGAAGCTTAATTTGGGGTGTGTTCTTTCATTTATTCCGACGTCTTATTCCGACTGTTTTCTTTTGAAAGCGGTTGTTTTTAAGATTATTTAAACATAAGTATAGGAATATGCATTTCTCCAAATTAAGCTTCTAAGGGCGGCCCTCGTGTGCTTTCATTTATCTATGTTTAATCAATAATCAGCAATGATCAGCATTCAGAAGAATTGGACAACGGCCAACATCGGAGTCCACCCTATCAACAACTTTAGAAACGCAGTACTTTTCGGAAAAAAAAGCACGCTGCCTGTGTGGTTTCATGTCCTCACCCCTTTTAGGTACAGTTGGAAACTCTCCTTGATAATGGCTTCACAGTTCTTAACAGATGGCAAACACCAATAAAGTTTTGTTGTCCTTGCAAGAGTTTCATTTGCCTGTCCTCCAGATTGCTGTTGTACTCTCATCGCACTGTAACAACTCGAAAAGAACGACTGATAGACACTTTGCTCATGGAGACGAACTTTAAATTTCTTGAATCTTTTATTTAAAATATGTGTCTATATATATATATAAATATAAATAATATATATATATATATATATATATATATATATATATATATATATATATATTTATATATATATATATATAATATATAGACTATATATATATATATATATATATATATATATATTATATATATATATATATATATATATATATATATATATATATATATATATATATATATACATATATATATATATATAATATATATAATATAATATACAGACTGACCTGAGAACAAGATCATTGACTGAAATCTGACTCATCTGGGACTAAAAAAAATTGGGAGTTTGGTGTTTCACGAAGGGAAAGCCAAAAGAGGCGAGGCCCGTGTGCGACTAAAAGTTGATGGATGAAAAACTTCATGTAATAGGCAAATTTAGCATGGCTAGAGTTTGTCTCTTTTCAGTCTTCTGTGAAAGTAAAAAAATGGTTCATAATTTAATATAAATTCAAAATACTTCGATTTATACTTTGCAAAATACAGTCGATTGAAATACAGTCGATTTATACTTTGCAAAACAACAAACAACAACGTGCGTCGTGTGATCTGCGAAGCGATGCTATCCCGGCATGCATCGAAAGCGTGGTGCAATCCTATCAACATATCTCTGCGCGAGTTACAGCGTTACGGGATTTTTTTTCCAGAATGTTGAAATAAGACCGTCAAAACCGTCGCGTTTGAAAAGAAAGATATAAACAAAGAACAAATTTTTTTTCCAAGACTTTGGATGGGGCTTTACTTATTTTAAGAAAGCAATTGCTTTTTGCTCCTGACTTGGGACTCTTTGCCCAGTTATTTAGGAATATAAAAAAAGATAATCCATTTGCAATTTTTTTCCGACAAAAGCTTTCAATGCATGCACGCCCAAGCTCTCATTCAACACAAAATTATAGTGATAATGCTTACACCAAATTGGTGCTTTATTACACAAGAACGGTGTTTATTTACCGACTTTTGGCGTAAATTTACGTTTGTTATGTTTGTTGAGGATGCTGTGACGCCAAATTACGCCATTTTATCGAGTATCGATATTTTATTATATGCCAGAACGCTAAAACGATCTTTGCCAGGATTTTTTTGCGTCCACGCCGAAGATCTTCGGCGTAACGCTCTTCAAATGCACCCTGGCTTGCCAGCCTAGGCACTATTAGCATATCTGCCAGAAATTACTTATAGGCACCGGAAGCAATCAAGGACAGGCGGGGGGTAGCATAACAGGTAAGGCACTTTAGCTTACAAAGTCTGTTTTTATTCAATTATTGAAAATTATATGAACAAAACAAATATCAACAAACTAGACAATCTTAACTTGGAAAAGTTAGACTTGTAAGATAACTTGGAAAAGTTAGACTTGGAAAAGTTAGACTTGTAAGATACATTCAATTTCCATGAGCATATATAGGGCAAGCTTCCCCGCTGCCTCAGCACCCTTAAAATTACTTGCTGTGTTAGTTACTCCGAAAGTGATTGATTTGAAATTACTATGTTAAATTTAATTAGAACTGAGGTCCAATCCCTTTGTCGAGATAAAATTGATATTTTGTCAGCAAATAAGTAGGTTCAATTAGTGGAAAATTGGCAAAATGAGGCAGTAAATGTGTTTCCGAGAGTCTTTTAAGACTCTTTATTAAAACATTCCAAAATTTTCTCAAAGTGAGCAAAATGCTAAACCCTCTAACATATTTGTTAAAAAAATGACACTTTTGCTTACCCCTTGGGAAATTACTAGGCCCCACCCATGATTTTTCAATAAACGGCCCGTTTTCTAAAACACTTGGCATTTTGCTCTTTTTCCAAGGCTAAATTTTGATCTGATTACAGAGTGTGTTGGTTGTGGTTTGCAAGGTGTGGGTTTAGTAAAAATTTTAAGACCAACTAGCCCCCCAAAACAAATTACAGGTTCATACAAAAAAGACAAAAGCAATGTTTATAGGATCTTTTTATAATTTGAGACTCAAAGTTGGGAATGATCCAGTAATGATTAGTGATAAACCTGTTACTCGCTACTCCTCTTTTCGTTGTTTGGGAGTAGAACTAGACGGAAAGATGAGCTGGGATAAGCATATAGTAACGACTAACTCACCAGATGGTTATATATGACATCCCTTCTTTTTTTTAAAATATATATATATATATATATATATATATATATATATATATATATATATATATATATATATATATATATATATATATATATACATATATATATATATATATATATATATAAATATATATATATATATATATATATATATATATATATATATATATATTTTAAAAAAAAGAAGGGATGTCATATATAACCATCTGGTGAGTTAGTCGTTACTATATTTAAATTTGTTTGAAATATAACACGGTTTATTTACATTTTTAAACAATTGAACTTCTCTACTTTTTAAACGGTACTATGTGCTTCTCAATGTCGCGATCAACAACATTTAGGTTCCGTAATTATCTAAATGAGTATGAACTGTATTTTATATATATATATAATATATATTATATATATATATATATATATATATATATATATATATATATATATATATATATATAATATATATATATATATATATATATATATAATAATATATATATATACAGTAGGAGGCAAAGTTTGAGTCCAGTCGTTGTAGAATTCCAGTATTAAACCCTGGCAGTGTATTCGAGTAAGACATGCGTATTAGTGTTTCAGTACTGTAAACCATATTAATTACACACTGTTTTGGTCCTAATGATCTAAATTATAACAAAATAAAGTTCTTATTCCTTTACACTGCCCAAGATTGGTGGGAAAAAGGGCAAAGTGATGGTGCACAAGGACAAATAGTTTGCATTAAGTATTGAGGGATTCTTTCCTCGTAAGATCGCAGAAAAAAGTGAGAATTTAAAAGGTGGTATGCACTAACCTTGGAGAGGTTCGAAGAAACTAAATCCTACTCAAGCAAACTTTTAGCTTCTTCCGTCATGCTCGGTTTGGCAATATTGAAAGATATAATAGGATCCTAATTAAGTAAAGTATCATCCAATTCTTCAAGGACATGGAATTTCATCTGGTACAAGGATGATCGCGTGTGTAACTACATGATAATCCCCATAAACACCTGCACATCTTCTATGTGCCAGAAATCGTTTAGAAGCAAACTCGTTTTGGTGATCTCGTTCTCATGGCTTTCCACCTCAAATTCCAGATCTGAACCTATCGAGTACTTGTAGGACCGTTTTAACCGGAAAAGGGCGAGGCACGACCCGCCAGCCAGAATGACTTGAGGCAAGTGGTCAACGAATTCTGGCAAGGTATTAAACGTGCGACATTAAGAAACCTATGGAGTCTATGCCAGCAAGAATAAACGTCATTTCAAGAGCAAAAAGAGGGACACTAAGCATTGACATGAAATGCATTTTTGCACATTAACATACGTAAAATGAATATCATAACGTCTCATAGTTGTTGTACAGCATGTATTTTTCTGTTTACTCGTGTACTTTTTTGTAGTTCACTTATCGGTAAGGTTTTCTGTAGAATATTAATATATGCTGCTAAAACAATGAAATACAGTCACTGGACTCAAACTTTTGCCTCCTACTGTATATATATATATATTATATATATATATATATATTATATATATATATATATATATATATATATATATATATATATATATATATATATATATATTACTATATTAGTAAGTGGTGCTATGTCATAGTTATTTTAACTAAGCAAATCTACGATTATTAAAATATTGTTAATCGTCATTAGATTATGAACTCTATAACTTTTTTTTCTTGGTAATCTCTGTTTTCTTAAAAAAAGTGTCTTTCCTTAATTTCTATAAAAGAAAACAAACAGTTCATAAATTAGGTCTCTCTGGGGGCTTAACCATCCCGGATGAACGTCGAAGTGGTGGGGTCCTTGGATCTTCCTGTGGTTTAGGTGGAGATGAAGGTTCTTTAGGTCCATTGGCTGTACTGTTATCAACATCAGAAGGGCTTACAAGGTCAGGCAACGATGATGAGGGCATGTTTAATTACCTTGTTCCAAAATTTTTCCCTGTTGGACGAATGTGCCGGTGATTTCTTTTCAGTGTCATTGGTTAATTTCACAACATAAGACTTTGGGGTCTCCCTGGCGCTCTGGACCACTGCTGGCTCCCACTTCTTTGTTTTTGAGGGTTGAGCACACGAACCGAATCCTTCGGATACACTGGTGGAAGAGACTTCGAGGACTTATCATTGTGTAATTTCTGTCGATCTTGTCGCTCCTGTAGCTTTACAGCCACATCGATGTCAACTGATGAAGACAATTGTGATCTGGATATAGCGGGAAGATTCGATTGGTATGCTCTCGAGTTGAGCAACTCCGTAGGTGAAGGAATGGAATGATCTACTGGTGTGGTGCGAAGACATAGCATAGCCAATTGAGGATCTGCACCAGATTCTTTACACTTCTGAAACAGGTTCTTCACCGTTTGCCCAGTTCGTTCAATAAAACCATTTGACTGAGGATAATACGGACTGGTAGCAACATGAGCAAACCCATAGACACGACAGAATTCCTGGAACGCTGCAGACATAAAGTGCGTATCATCTCCTGTGATCCAGGTATCAGTGATTCCATGTTCTTCAAAGATCCTTTTCAAGTGTGCAATTGTTGTGGACGACTCCAAATTGCTGAGTTTTCGCACCAACGGAAATTTACTGAAACAATCACAAATCAGCAAGTACGACGAATTATTCCAAAAGAATAAGTCACATCCAAGGGTGTGCCACGGTTTTTGTGGGACGTCATGCGGCGTAAAAGGTTCTCTAACATTCATCCTTTGGTTATGTTGACATGGACTGCAACCTTTTACCATTTCTTCTAGATCAGCGTTTATATTCACCCAGAAGACTCACCCCTTAGCTCTGAGCTTACATTTCTGGATTCCTTGGTGAGCGTAGTGGAGCTGATCCAACACTTCAGTTTGTAAACTCTTAGGAATCAAGATCCTAGTGCCCTTTAGAATCATTCCATCAAAAACTGTTAACTCATCACGATAGTTCCAACACGGATGCAAATGGCTGGGACATTCCACTCTCTTCTCAGGCCATCCTTGGGTGACAAACGCCTTGAGAGAATGAAGTTCTGGGTCTTTAGCGGTTTCATTCTTGATCTGCTTAACTCTAGTTGGACTTGCATTCAGGTGAACTTGGAACTCGTGGATGGATACATCGACCCCTTCAATTGTGTCACCTTCGCAAGGGTCAAGCCGTGAAAGGGCGTCTGCCATAGGTACATTCTAGCCTGGAAAATACTTTATATCGACATCATAATACGTAGCATCATCCTTGCAATCCGAGGTGGTGTAGTGGACAAATGCTTCTTGAAGATGGTTTCAAGTGGCTTATGGTCTGTTGTCACAACAACATTACGGCCATATGCATAATAATAAAATTTTTCCAGCCCATAAACGACTGCTAGCATCTCTCTCTCAATATTGGAGTATCGGGTTTCTGTGTCCGTAAGAAGCTTGCTACGATATTCTACCGGCCCATTTTCTTGAATCAAGGTTGCGTCAAGACCACGCTGAGAAGCAACGACTTGGATAGTGACTGGTTGACTACCGTCGAAGTACTGAAGATATCTAGGTGACGTGATCATAACCTTAATCTTCTCAACAGCAGATTGATGTTCCGGGCCCCAAATGAAGTGGTTGTTCTTCTTGGTCAAGTCTTAAAGATTAGCTGAAACTGAGGCCAGGTTTGGAATGAAACGACTAAGATACTGGATCATGCCAAGAAAGGTCTGGAGGTCTGCTAAGCTTTTTGAAGGATCCATATTGACAAATGCTTGTGTCTTTCTAGGGTCCATCTTTAGACCATCAGCGCAGATGATATGCCCAAAAAAAGGCAGTTCAGTGCATCCTATCTTACACTTCTCTGGATTAAACTTGACACCAGTTTCCCGAGCTTGCTTCATAACAGCTTTTAGATTGGAATCATGATCACTACGATCTTCCTTAAAACCAAATACGATAATGTCATCCGCTATACCAGCAACTCCAGGTAGATCACCAAACGCTTCATCAACTTTCTTCTGGAAAATGTCCTGGGCGCAGATCAATCCAAATGGTAATCTCAGAAACCGATATCTCCCATGGGGTGTATAAAACGTAGTGTATACCGAACTTTCATGATCAAGTTGAATGTTCCAATATCCGCTACGAGCGTCAACTATGGAGAAGTACTTTGCACCATTCAACTTTAGTAATATTTCATCAAGTGTAGGCGTACAATGATGTGGTCGCTTGGTCGCACAGTTGAGATCCTTGGGGTCCAGGCACAATCGCAGGGAATCATTACTTTTCGTCACGCACACCAAAGAATTCACCCAATCAGTTGGTTCATCGACTCTGGCTATGATTCCTTGACTTACGAGTGATTCAAGCTCTTTCTTTAAGGGCTCTCGTAACGCTTCTGGCACCCGTCTTGGAGGATAGATAACTAGACAAACTGCTGGACCTAGGGTGATGTGATATTCTCCTTGAAAACAACCGATCCCTTCAAAACAATCCGCATACTGCGTTAGTAGATTTGCTTTGGCCTCCGAATTGCCACCGTGGCTTGCATTGCCAGTAGATGCACATTGTAGGCTGTAGTTCAGGGTCACTAGCTTCATATCAGTGCAGGTTGATAACCCAAGTATCGTAGGACCAGTAGTGTTCACAACATGGAATGAATACAAACCGGAACGATCGTTGTGTGACAAAGCGAGCTTGCATGTTCCAAAGTGCTCTATTGCCTGACCACCAAAAGCAGGGCCGTAACTAGAACGATAATTGGGGGGTGTTTATTCATATATTCAGTTCTGCCCTGTGGATTTCTTTTGTAAGTGCAATAGCTCACAATGGAAATCCGTCGGGCAAAACTGAATATATGAATAAACACCCCCCCCAATTATCGTTCTTGTTACGGCCCTGACCAAAAGCAGTAATTCTCGTGGATGACGAGACCAAACCAATAGGCACACCACTGAAATCGTAAGGCGACTTAGGAAATAATTGCTTGTAGGTACCCACAGGAATAACATTTTCTTCGGCTCCAGTGTCCACTTTGCATTGCAATGACTTCTTGATGTGATCCACATCGACTTGAACCTTGAGCATAGACTGATTTTTACTCTCGTTGACGTTGTTAATGGAAAGTGAATGAAAATACAACTGCGATGCATCTTGAGCAGGTTCATCTACCTCTTCTTCCTTGATAGCATTAACAGATCGGTCAGATCGTCCTGATTTTTACGTTCTTGTTTGTCTTTTGAGTCCGATGGCTTACTGGAACGACACATTTCCCGCCAATGATTTAACATGCCGCACTCTCGACATTTAGTTCCTTGAGCTGGACACGATGACTTTCGCGATAGGTCATGCTTGCCTCCACAGTTGCCACAGACATCTTTCCACTGCCTACGCTTATTCTGTATAAATCGCTTGTTATTATTATTCTGCTGTAACGCGTTTACTGACTTTTCTCCTCTGATATCTTGAAGTTGTGAAGACGTTGCCTCCTCGGTTCTCGCGATATCGATAGCCTTATTGAGAGCAAGTGTCTCATCATATTCAAGTAGCTTTGATTGAACACGCTGACCGTTAGATCCAAACACGAGGGCATCAAAAATCTGTTCATCAGTGTTGGCAAATTTGCACTCACTAACCACGATTCGTATTCTTTTAAGAAACGCATCAACAGTTCCATCTTTTTCTTGCATCATAACTCTTAATAGCTTATATCTTGCCAATCGAAAATTGCTCTTCAGAGATACATAGCTCTCAAATCTTGTCCAGTATGTGTCTATTTTCTTCTTTTCGTCTTCAGAAAGAGACCACGTTGAGACGAGTTCAATGCCTTCTTCGCCCGACCAAATCAACAAATAGCTGATTTGCTCTGCTTCGCTTTTACCCTTACGTGGACCGGCGAAATACAACTCACAAAGTGCTTTAAACTTCTTAAAGGCTTGAGGCGCGTCCGATGAATGCCAATCCATCTTTGGAACGGGTAAACCCGCTAACTCGGCCATGGCTTTCGAACGTTTTTGTGACTTCTGTTATCGCTTGGGTGGCGTGCGAATATATATGTTTTAAAAACACTATATACAGGGACTTATAAAGTGACACCGACTGAGTGAGCAACTTTATATCCCACACCTGACACCATGTTATAATTCGAATGAATATAAATATAATAACGACTAACTCACCAGACGGTTATATCGTAAAATGTAATAAACTAGGAAAAGAACATGCTTTTATATGGATACGGATATATATACAAATTTACATATGCTAATATATTAACCTTATGATTGTTATACAAATTATCATATGACAACTATGACAAACCGCGTGATACGTTCACTTTGTCTGCTTTGTCTTACACTTTGAATCTCGTGCTTAAATTAAATCTTCAATCCTGTGCATATACACATTGATCCTCGATAAGCAAATGCTGGAAATTCGGCGCGTCATTAGCAAATGAGATGATTAGGTCTTCACATTTGGAGTGATTCAGGACCATACCATTTTCAGTGCACCACTCATCGATTTTGTCGACAATAGACTGCATATTACTTTGACCACCTTGCTCAATTGATTCAGAGAGACTAGTATCGTCGACATACTACCATCTTTCTTTATAGTTTGAGGCTAGATCATTATTAACCATGAAGAGGAAGAGGAGGGGTCCGAGGATTGTACCTTGTGGGACTCCTCCATTGACCGAGGACCAATCGGATAGTTTAGTGCCCAGCTTTACCTTCTGCCTTCTTTGTGTTAAAAAATCGATGACCCAGTTTATTAAAAGATTATCGACATTAAGCAGCAGAATCTTTTCAATTAGGATTTTATGGTTGATTTTATCGAAGGCCTTACTAAAGTCCAGGCGAAAGACACGAACGGCCTCACCATTACCATCTGTTTTTGAGTACCAACAGTGGAGCATGCTAATCAGAGCATCAGTTGTCGAACTACCTTTCAACGAACCAAATTGCCTTGGGTCCAATTTAGAATAAATGTCATTCATAATCCATTGGTTTATAAAGGATTCAAGAATCTTGGACAGACTTATTGTTAATGATATAGGTCGCAGGTCGGCGTTTAGGTCATTAACTAGAGATGACTACGGAACGGGGTTCACATTTGTATCCTTCCACTGTTTAGGGACTTGTGCTTGTCTGATGGAAGCGTTAAAGATTGTTGTAGCTGGCTCCGCCAACTCAATTAAAAAACTATTGAGGATCTAATTTGGAAGTGAGGAGGACCTGAGGCTTTGTTGGTTTGAACTGCTTTTAAACGAGTTTCAATGTCAACACTGGAGACACATAATGGAGCAGTACGATCTTCGGTAGGTAATTTAACACTCGATGAAAGTGGTGGTAAGGATTTGCTGGCCTCAAGAAAGTAAGTATTAATAGCAGCTGCTAAATTCCTTCCCTCCAAATATCTCCCTTTAACTTCAACAGAATAGAAGGAAGGCTTTAAAGAATAACCAGTGAGGTTTTTAATAGCGTTCCACCATTTCTTAGGTCTTGAACTCATCAATTAGTTTACCTGGGATTGAAAAAAATTTGGTTTAGCTTGCTTCACAGTGTAAATTATTTTTTTCGCAATTTATTGTATTCAGCTTTATTTCTCAAGGCAAAAGCCTTTTGTCTTTGGGAAATGAGAGATTTAATCTCTGGGGTAAGCCACGCTTTGTCTCTACAGTGCATCTTCACAGCTTCTCTGGGAAATATAGTGTCCAAACCCATGAGGATGATATCGTAAAATAGGTCAAACATCTCCTGGCATGAAGGTAAATAGGAAAGAAGTTCCAATTAAGGTCCAAGAGGAATCGGCCGAACGCTTGCATATTGGATGGCTTCCGCTTTCTATTCCAAGATTTGGTAATAGTATTAAGACGTTGGTGATAATTAGACGGACTTAAAAGAATTGACATATGGTACGACTGAGCAATAGCAGGGAGTATTTCTTATAAGACATGACAGTTGATAAATTGATTGGAATTTGACAAGACACATTGGTTTACAGCTCTCCACGGCAAAACTCTTCAGAGCCCAATGGCACATTCCCATGTGGCATTGGCCAATGTTAAACATGCTCATTTGCCGATTCCAGCACTGTTATTTCGGTTCCCAAATCACAGTTTTTCATCGGGCACGATTTCACATGCCTCTCCTCCAACATCATTTTATTGCATCTTATGTAACAAAATGTGGTTTACTATATATCGGCAAAACTGGAAGATCTCTAAGGGTAAGGTTTGGCGAACACCGTAGGTCGGTTAACAACCACGATAACACCAAGCCTGTTGCCAGACACTTTAACTTGTGTCACGGACAAGAAAATTAGAGCCCTCTGCCCCATTTCCGGTACTAACGATAGCCGCAAACGACAAGAAATGCGACTCGTCTACAGTCTTGGCACTCTCCATCTCTCTGGCACAAATGAAAGACCCTCTTTCATTTAAGGTACTTCATGCACCCATAGGAATATGGCTACCATTGCTTTGCTGATCAGGCTTCCCTCATTGCAGGCTATTCTTAGCCTACAGCCCGGCGTCTCTTTGGCAATGTAACGTATTCCAATCAATTTGCCCATTTTTATTACGTGTTTTGCCCCCAAACAAAACATGTATTCTCCCTTGTTTATTTTCATACTAACTCTCCTGACGAAGGCCCTTAGATCGAAACGTCGAGAAGTGTTTTGTCTATTTAGGCAGTTGTTATACCACATTTGATGCTATATTGTTTGTCTACATCTTACCTTTGACAAATTTTATAACAGCGTAACACCGACATGCATGTCTGTACTTTTATTTTACATATACGGAATTATTAAATATTATATCTCAACTGTAAATCATCCAATCAGAAAGCTCGATTTGTACCACGTGATCAGTAAATTAATCATGGAGTTCCATCGAATTTTTTCACATTATGCTATAAAAGTCGAATACCCCGCGTGGATGCCTCGCATATGACTCGAGGTTTTCAACAATTTCAAAATGGAGGCAAAAGAAGCCATTTCACCCAGCTTTTGCGCTGCCTACACGTTGTTTCGATATGATATATGAATTATAGACCTTCCACTCGGGCAATTTGACGAAATATTACTCCCTCGGGAAGATATATCCCTCGGGCGAAGCCCTCGGGAAATATCTTCCCTTGGGGGTAATATTTCGTCGAATTCCCCTCGCTCCAGGTCTATAAATGATAATAATTCCCTTACTAGAAATACATACATGCAGCAACCCATCGCTATTTCAAACCAAGTGCACAATTTCTTGACCCAACCTGAACTAAACGTATATTATGAAATGACGCAAAACTCAAATCAGTCTATATTATATTTTATTTAGTATATTATGGCTATGGTATAGTATGACATTTAGTAACGCTATCCCGCCTAGGCGAGTTTCCCGACTAAGCGGGATGAAAACATCCCGTCCCGGCTAGACAGGATCATATAAACAGGCCCTAAGGAAATAGCAAGAGAAAAAGCACGGGACAGAATACTAGCGAAAGTGTTTGTTTTTACATCGGAAGGGATGGAGCCAAGCATATGATGACCCGGAACTCAAACCCTACTTCCTGCGAAGAAGCGAGAATTCCATTGAACAAAATGTCTACTTTGGGAGATACGCGTGATCATTCCTTCAATGTTCCAAACAACCAGCTGATCTGAGATCATGACGTCATAAAGCGTCTCAACAAAACTGAGTTATCATGCGCCTGGTGTTACTTCTCCTTATTCTTCTAACTAATAGTATAAAGGGTGAAAAATTAATAATTCTAATTTACAGGTGGTAAAAAATAAACGTGTTTTTACATAAATATAATAAAATTGCTTGATATTTTTGAGTGTCGAAGTCATATGCAATGAAGGAAATGATAATTCAGTTTTGTCGAAGATCTGGCTTCTGATTGGGTGATTTTTATACCCAGATCAGCTGGAAATGTATATATTAAACGTATTACACGAAGCGCATTCAGGAATCGTCAGAATGAAGTCACGATGGCACCAAGAGACCGTCAACGCATGCCAACAGTGCGCAAGTAGCAAAGCATCACCTCCAGTTAAAGGGAATAGCCACCCCACCCGTGCAAAAAGATCCATTTTGACTTTGCAAGTCATGGGGGAAATCATTACTTGGTAGTGGCAGATGCACACCCCAAGTGTAATCGGTCCTATGAAGATAACAACAGCTGAAGCTAGCTACAATGCGTTGAGGTGCGTCTTTGGTCGATATGGTCTACCAGAGCAAATCGTGAGTTACAATTGTCCTAGGTTTCAATCCGCCAAGTATGATAACTTCCTAAAACAAAATGGTATAAAATGAGTCCTAGTCTCTCCATACCATCTAGCATCTAACGGTCAAGCTGAGACATTTGTGCAGACATTTAAGAACTTCCTGAACACGGATAATTCTCCAACTTGTTTACTTCAAAAGTTCCAATTCTTCCTTCTGACTTACCGAAGCACCTCCCACACTACTACAGGATGTTCTTCTGCCAAACTCTTCTTCTAGCGAGAAGTAAGAATAAGATTGTCATTGGGAAAACTCGACACCGCATGTATGGTGTAAGCAAACCAAACACGAATGAAGAGCTATCGTGATCAACACGCTAAATTTAGAGAATTTGAAGTGGGGTAGTCTGTCCTTGCACGTGATAATCTACCACAGACTAAATAGCAATCGGTATCTGTTTCTGACAGAAATGGCCCGTATTCTTACGCGGTAGTGTTACCAGATGTTAGAGTGTGGAGTGGTCATGTTGATCAACTGTAAAGCAGAAGTAACTTCTATTCCCTCTTGTACTATGGCGCCTACTTTATCTACAACGAAAGTTAAAGAATAGCTATCTCCATCTACAGCCAAAGTTAGAGAAGATGTACTCCTTCAACAGCGCTTCAAAGTCAGAGAACATGGCTCTTATAGTATCAAGGCTTCTGATAGTATCAAGGCCCCTACCATTAGTTTGCGAGGTTCAAATAGAACGATCAAACAATCAAAGAGATT